TTCTAAATTAGCCTATTTTCTAACTGATTCTAATGACTTGCTGAAGAACTCACTGACATATAGATGCAGGAAGATGCTAACTGAAAATCTGTATCGACACCAGAAGTTTTGCTGTCAGACAAACATATATTTTGAATTTCTTCATTACATACAACTACCTAATACTTTCCTGGCATTATAAAAATGTAGCTATAGAAAGTTATTCAAATAAGGAAGATACTAAGCAAAGACAAAATGCTTAGAAAATAGCTTTTCAAACTAATTTTTGGTTGAATTTTTAATAAAACGCTGTGATATTGCAGAAGCATTTATGGCTACTAATAAGTGGAATTCAGTTTCTAAAAATCTTCATATTTGATGTTTGTTATTATGTAATTATATTGCCTGGCAACTCTCCAGTGCCAAAAACAAAGTTTGAAAAATAAATTTGAATAAAATTTTGAAACTGTCACACATAGAAAAAACTGATGTAAGAAACCATAGGCTTAAATTATTTTGGCAACTAATAGATTTTTTTTTTAACTATTGCTTATCTGTCTATGCTGATTATTATCACACCATAATGTGCAAAGACTGTTCTTTGGGAGAACAGAATATTAAAAAAGATAATGTCAACAAAATTAACATTTCTCAAGCTATTAAGTATATCATTATTATCTTAATTAGCATGATTTTCTAAATTACCATTTGAAACACTGTACATCCTGGAAATGCTCTAACATATACCTACAGTTCATAGTATTCTGATGAGTATTTTCTGAAATTTATTTAGAGTCTGAAACTTTGCATTTAGATCTTGAGATATGATTATGGAGAAGTCCAATGTGTAAGGCATAGCAACTGTGTTAAACCAGAGAGGAGATAACCAAGCAACAGAGATAATCCGGAGAAGGAGGAGCAGCCCAATCTGGATTGTGATAGAAGCAGCAACTCTATAGTACATACTTGCAATTTCTGATTTTCAATAGATCATAAATTTGATAGAAAAAATTCCTATTTCTTACCTACATTTCCAGTCATTAGGTATGAATTCTGAAAGTCCATCATTCCCATTCCAACAATGTGTATAAAATCTTCAATCACCTGCATTAACTCCACCGAGCCTGGATAGATCTAATAAAAGAAGGTCAGACATGCCGTTAACTATAATATCAAAATCTCTACAGCAGCAAATTCAAATAAAATCTAAAGTCCATCAAATGAAATGTGAGACTTAACAGTCAAACTGCTCTTCCCATGTTTCAATACCCAATATTTTCTGTCACTGTAAACCAACCATTTAGTCATTAGATCCTCATGTGGACAGACACTACTTCCCATATAGCTACATGAAATCAGCTTTGCGCTGGAACTGTGGAATGTTTGCTCTAACTCACTGTACTTACCAAAAAAATTTTTACTGGCCATTACTTTCATTAATGGTTAAAGCATTTCATATTCCAGAATAATTCTAATTAAAATATCCTTCCTTCCTCTGGAAGATATCTTCAATAACTTCAGAACTATTGACACAAACAGCTGAATGAATATCTTACCATGGTCTCTCCAGCATGATAAACCTTTGTTGCTTTAATCAATATTTAAGTAATATAAATTTTTACTGGTAATACTATTTTCATTGCTGGTGTGGAGTAGTAGAATCACAGGATAGCTGAGGTTGGAAGTGGCCTCTGGAGATCATCTAGTTCAACCCCCTGTTCAGAGCAAGATCAGCTCTAGCAGGTTGCCCAGGACCACATCCAGTTGGATTTTGAACATATCCCAGGATGGAGACCCCAGAGCCTCTCTGCACAACATATTCTAGCATTCAATCACTCTCACAGTGGAAAGGTTTTTCTTATATTTAAATGGAATTTGCTGTACTTTAATTTTTGCCCCTTGGTTCTTGTCCTGTCACTGGACACCACTGAGAAGAGTTTGGCTCAGTCTTCTTTACTCTCCCCCCTCAGGATTTTTTACCATTGACAGGATCCCCACTAAACTTTCTCTTTTCCAAGCAAAATAGTGTCAGCTCTTTCAGCCTCTCCTTGCATATCAGATGCTCCTGTCCCCTAAAGATCTTCATGGCTCTTCACTGGACTCATTCCATGATGTCATTCCATTGTACTGGGGAGCCCAGAACTGGACACAGTAAACTAAAATAAACTGCATAGCCTTTGAATTGCTAATGTAGCCTCTCAGTATGACTTTCAAAATGGTAAGAACTAGCACATTTCCAATAAATATAATTTATTTGCAAAGCTGTAATGTACTATGATTACAAAAACATTAAAAATTGTTATATTCAACAATAATGATGCATCATCAAAACCGCATTAAAGGTCAAACCAGTTATTAATAAGCTTAAAAATTCTGCTTATATCACACACATTAAAAATAATTTTTGGTTGTTATGGCCTGTTATGAACAGGACAATTTTCAGTAATACAGTATTTTGCAATAGAAAAAGAATGGAAGACCTGTTCACAGTGCTTTTTTCTTCATATCGGTGAGATGTCCAGATTTCACTTTATGAGCAACATTCAACCCGTTCTTTCCACTACTGGGACTACAGACTCTGAAAAATGCCTATAGAGACTATAAATTCAAGCATGCTGTGCTCCATCTTCATCTTGCTTTATCTGTCTAGATCCGTAGCTGCTTAGTTCAGGATAGAGAATTTCACAATGTGCTTTGCTTTCTACATGGATCTTTTTATAAAAGGCAGGCCAGCAATACAATTTTTATGAAGAATTTGTTGTGACATTTATGATCCTAACAGGTTGTAAATGCTGCTTCAGGTGAAGGAGACTTAACTTCTGTTTTCCTAATGATGGGTTACTGAGGTAGTAAGTGTAGCTTTTGCATTCATCTCATTCATAGCACACACACTCGCAGATTATGTACTAAGGATAAATTTCAGTGAAAAGATTTTTTCACCTTAGTTCTTACACATAAAATTTTATAGTAATAACTTTAGCAGAAACTGTTGAACAGTCAGTGTTATAGAGGTACTCTTCATCTTTATATATCTGAAGTACTGGTTAATCAATAGGATGCCAGCAGATGGTGATGAAGAATATGCAGAATAGCTCCTGTGTTTTGAAACACCAGTATACACTTAACGCATTGTGGACTTGAAGTGGTTTCCTGTGTGCAGTGCTTTACATCAGCTCTTAAGAAAAGGCAAGTATTAAAGTGAGTGCTGCTTATCTGAATGCTATATAACCTGTAATTAATGGTATCAACTGCTGGCATTTAATCCAGAAAAAAGGATGTGCTGAGGCATTGCAGCTGTATACTTGATAGAAAGTCAGCAATTTGCTGACAGTGAGTAAGATTTTCTTTCCAGCAAAGAATCCAGAAAACAGGCTAAGAGATCTATGTTAACAGTAGCTGTGGAGTTCAAGAAAACCATGCAAGCTGACAAAAGAAGTTGGTTAGACTGCTCCTTGGTTTGCAATGTTTCATTACAAAAAAAGAGTCAGAGTGGCTGAACCGGAAACAGAATCACCTTTACTCTTTTCTAATGAGTCAATAGTGTTTGCACTAGGTTGTATTCACAGCACATAATGACTTGTACATGTTCTTTTCAAGTTCAATTCCTACCTTGATTTTAACATAAAAACTAAAAAAGTCTTCACACAGGATGTAGTAATATCAAATAATATTGTTTCTGTTTTAAAATCCAATTCTATTTAACCATAACATTTCAGCGTTTTATCCAAAATACGATAGAAAAAAATATTTTGTATAGGAAAGCTTTTTTTTTCAGTAGTGGAAGAAAAAAAGAGTCTTAGGAGTACTTAGGAGCCCAGCTCACCCTTCCTAGCTGGTATGAAGAGCTGCTTGTTTCAATAGTTTCTTTGAGACTGCTTGTGTAACTGCCCAAGAATAGTAACAAGACCAGGTTTCTTCCGGTGCCATAGCTCAGGATTCTAAGATTTAGTGAATTCCCTAGCTTTTTCACCAGGCAGCTATGGCCCTGCTACTCCTGCATTCAGCTCATCTTGGTGCTTGCTTGTGTTCCTGCCCGCCTACTGGTGCTGTACTCAGGTCTGCGAGACAATGAATTACCAGGCACAGACAAGGAGCTACGAAAAAGTAGAAATAACTTGTCTCCTTTCCCTTTTTCAAGACCACTTCTTCTACCAGCAGCAATGAGGGGAGGGAACTGGAGATTTGTTGTTCCCTCTTTTACCTCCACATTCTCACCATTTACCCTTAGGTACTGTCATCTCCTGATCTTTGTGGGACAGATGGTGGACATGGCATGGGTAAGCAGGCAGGGTGGAGGTAGAAGATGACAAAGCTGATAACATAAGGAGTGGTATTCTGTCTGTTCATTATCGGGGTTAAAACAGTTGCTTAATATTGGTTCCCTAATCTTGGTGCTGTTTATGGAAAATGCCCACATGCATGTGATTTTTCTGCTTCCATCCACCACCACTAAGGAAAATGACATACTTTGTCTATTTTTGTAGCTGGCTCTTACACAGAGGAACAGAAAAACAACAAAAGAAAAATACGATTCCTGGCTAAATTACAGTGGGTCAACTGCAGCATCATATGTTTACTGCAAGGTTTGAACTGGTAGCAAAAAGTCCTGATCTTCCCTTTCTTAGTCATATTATAAAGATGAACTTACAAAACCAAAGTTAAATAGCTTCAAAGACCTTCAAACACCTAGTGATTTATTAAGAACCACATTAAAAGTGAACAAATTTCAAGTACCTATATAGCACACTGGCAATGACCATACAAGAGCAGACCAAAGATCTGTGTAAGCCATTTTATTGTCTTTGACAGTGGCAAATAGATGTCTAAGGAAGAGTATAAAGGGGCATGCACATAGTGATACTTTGTTTGGGATTCTTGCGCCGTCTTTAGCACTTTTTTGCCAAAGGACTTCCTTAAACAAAAACGGGATCTTTCCATGAACAGTCCTATACTGACTTTTCTTTCATTAATTTTTTTTTTTTTAACTTGTGTACTTTCAGCGGCAAGAACTTATGCAACCTGACCTTCTGTAAAAAATGTATCTCCTAGTATTCATTCTGAATCTGCCACTATTTGATGTTCTTTAGTTATTTTACAAGAAGCACAAGTGAATAGATTAATCATTCCCGCATCACATTCTCCAATCCACTCCTGATTTTAAAAGCTTCTATTGCACGTAAGTGCAGTTAACTCTTTTTCATACTGAAATATCTTGCTTTGTTTAATCATTCTTCATATAGAAATGTTTCTCTGCCTTTGACTGCCTCCATAATTTTTTCTTTGTATGTAATTTTCTGTTCATCCCCATTGTCACTGTTATTTGTATATGAATAAATTTGATAGTTTCATGGTCATGTTCATGAACATAAATATTAACATTGCCCTATAATGTTCTTGGTATAAGCATGTAGGAAATACTTATATCCAAAAAAATGGTTTTCATTTGAATTTTAAACTCCTATTATAAATTAATGATTTTTGTTAGACTTTACTATTTTATAAAGTGCTATCATAATATCTAAATTAGTCCTGAAATTTGTCAGTCTTAAGGATCACAGCTGTTCTCCTAAATACAACCTTTTAAAACAGGTCTACTGTTTAAATATCTGTAAGTTGTTTGGTGGTGTCATATGAGCTCTTTAGGTGAGTTCTGATGTGTTCTGTTTAATAAAAGCATCATTGCAGCTAGCCTTTGGTAGCATTTTTCAGCTTTCGTATATACTTCATTTCAACATGAAAAGTAAAGACATAATGAATAAACCCATGGAATGCAATAAAAATCTGTTCATTAAGAGAAGTGCCTTATATTCTTAATATAATTTTAATCTAAGGAATTAGTCAATGGGTCCTGGAATTACTCCTTTTTGAAAAGGATCAGTTATTTCCAAAATATTGTCTCACTTAGGATTTCCTTTCACCTACAGGAGGGTGTATGTTTGACCTGATTTTTGAAACCATACATTCCACTTTGTCATGACTTACTGAAATAATGTGTGGCTTCCGACACAGTGGATGTCATAACATGCATAGTTTCCAATTTTTTAAATTGATGAGTTAAAAAATGCAAATCTTACCTGTTGCGCATCTTCCCATTTCTCTTTGTTTTCTTCATCTAAGAGGTTACTAATGATTTGAAAGAAGTTCTGAAAAATCAATTAAATAAAAGACAAAGTAAAATGACTTTCAATGACATAAACAGTCATATCCTTAAGTTGACATTAAGAAAGTTTTCCTTTCTCTATTACAGATGCAGTTCTGCAGCCTATATTCTGTCAGTGGAAGAGATGAGATAACAAAATAATATATTAGACTAAAAAAAGGGCACATATATTTTATGGTTGATTGTTCATTTCTGGCCATATAATCAGGTTCCATACTACTGCTTGGTATAAAATAAGAACCAGTTTAAACTTGCTAAACTTCTAAATGTGATGGTGTTCTATTTTCAAATTGCTCTCATTCCAGAAACTAGACAGCTATATATTTTGCAAATAAACAAAGTACACTAAGACCAGGCCACTAGTTTCTATTCAAAATGTGAAAATGATCCTTAATGACCATAAATAGGACATACAATGGTATTTTATTGGCAAATGCTGTGTGAAACCAGGTGCATCTTACTTTTAAAAAGTCACATATCCCTCTGTCCTTTTAGTTATTTCAACAGAAAAGGAATAATTAATTTCTGTTTCTTTGACCTTAAACTGTTAATTTCTTTATCTGATTCTCCTATTCATTTAACTATAAGGAAAAAACAAATTAAAGCCAGGGCATTTAGCTTTTAAACCACACATTTTAAAAATCACTCTTCCAAGCGTTTGTGGAGAACTTTCCTTTCTAATTTTGTCTTCTCTCTCTACCAATTTGTATTCCCAACTTCTTCATCTTTAAAAGCTAAGAATTTGTGCAGAGTCTGTTCTCAGCTCTGTGTCACTTTTTGTGCAGAATGTCAATTTTGTCTGCAGCCTGCCAATTGTAATTTATCTGTTCCTTCATAAAAAATACATGTAGTTTCCACTGACCTTAGCTGAGGAGTGCAATTAAGGTCCTCACAACCTCTAAAAAATCTTTAAGTAAGTGGAATACCAACATAGGACCCTATTGGAACTCAGACTAATGGTCGTTCCCTCACCTGCGCTTACTTTTTAGACATTTTGGGGGGATAAATAAGGCTTAAATAAGGTTTAAGTAAGAAGTAATTTTAACTCACTATTAATGAAAGTACAAAGCATTTGACTGCACAGTGACTGAAATGAGAGCGGAAATAACTTCCAACCTTAGTGAACTATGGATACTGTGGTTATGCTTGAAAAGATGTTAATTTCAAAATATGAGATATCACAGACATTTTAGGTGTCTCACAACCATATAAGTAAAAAAACTGTAGGATACAAAATTGGATAAAACTTGTGAAAACTATTTTTACAGGAAAACTATTTTTACATAAAAAACATTTTTACCAGTTTAATCTAGTCCTAACACTAACTACTTGACAACTGAGAAGATCCATCTTTGCCTCATCATTAGGAAGTTAATTATACTAACCATAAAATTTACACAGATAAAAATTGCTTTAACTTGGCCAATTTAACATAGAGGTGACTGACACTTTGGTGAACTTGAGCAAAATAATCCTGTACATTAATGAGGGCACAATTCTTCTCTCATTGAAGTCAGTAGCACAATATCCATAAGCTTCAGTAACACAAAACTTCATGACAAGAAAGGAAATGGCTCAGCAAGCTCCTGTGAAAATGACAAGTATGCTTTGGGACAGGATGATGGGGATTAAAGACAGGACATAAAACAAAAATGTTCTCATGGTTTGATCCAATTTACAGCGATAGAGATGGGAAATTTCCAGTCAAGCTGAAGATAAGAAGAGGAAAATGTAGCTACGTATTGCTTATATACCCAGAATACATTTCATCTCTTTCAGGTATTCAGTAGCAAAATAAAGCATAATGAAAAGAGTTACATTTAGTATTCATTACAAAGGATTTGCCAGTTTAACCAGGTTGGCAAATCATAATTTTGTAAATGCAATTTCAACTAGGAAAAATGTACAGCCTTATCGGTCCCTGAAGTAAAATAAACTATACTGGCCAAAGCAGTTTCATGGCACTATAACCACATCTACTCTAGGACATTATGATTTTGGCAAAGAGTTCTACTAGGTAGTCGGCTGTAGGGGGATTTTGCCTGAGGAAAACAGTTTTTAAAGCATTATATTTCTGCGCTCTTCCAGTGTGATACTGTGGAGATGTAGTGGACAGAAATTTTAGCTAACTTGAACTTGTTAGGGTGCCAGCAGCAGTCTAGCTGCAGCAGCACGGAGCTCAGTGTGGGATAATTTATCATACTAAGGAGACGGTTCAAAGCTAGTTTTGCACTAATTTTGCCTGAGGAAAACAGTTTTTAAAGCATTATATTTCTGCGCTCTTCCAGTGTGATACTGTGGAGATGTAGTGGACAGAAATTTTAGCTAACTTGAACTTGTTAGGGTGCCAGCAGCAGTCTAGCTGCAGCAGCACGGAGCTCAGTGTGGGATAATTTATCATACTAAGGAGACGGTTCAAAGCTAGTTTTGCACTACATTGCAGCCACTGATTCCCCTGCAGAAACAGTCTAAATCTTAATTGCAAAAGTATCCATGTCTGTGTAATGAGATCTAGCTGAGAATAGCATAGATTGCCTGAAAAACACTCAGGAGTTATAAATGTTTCTTGCACGATGATAAATTACATGGTTTTGCTAATAATGTTATGTGTTCATTAAATTGTATGTTTATTTTAGTTACATGAAAGCATTAAAATGACCAATAATTAACAGAAATATATGTGAAAAACTTATGAATAATCCTAGACTCAAGCACAAACAAAAGATGAGCAATAACTGATTTAATATATACTTTGTACTTGCCAATGAACCATAAATGATGTATTTGAACCTAATGACAAGAATATCTTGCTTATTGAGATCTTTTTTTTCTCTATTTCTATCCCTGGTTGATGTCATATTTATGGTAGCAGTAGAGGCTGACATGTATGAAGATTTTTCAGTCAGCAATACCAGTGCTTTGTGAATTAAACAGAGAGACCATTAAATGGCTTTGCTGCTTCAATAATGAATAGATATGAGATGCACTCCAAAAATATGACAGGCGAATAAGGGTTAAAAAGTCTTTCACCTACTTTGACTATTCTCTTGTTCATTGCATTAATGCTGCAAGAAACAACATTGCTCTTTAGTAAAATGATTGACAGGTATGAAGGCTAAATTTTAGAAGCATTATGGATGTGATCTGATGGTACTACTGCAGTAAACACTGGACCCCCTTGTAGAATCAAGCTCCTTCCTTTCATGGCAGGGCTTACATATTACTGAACTGGCCACTATAGAAAATGTTGTGACAGCCAGAGCCAAATTTTTAAGTAAGTCCTTTATTTTTGCCCAGGCGTTTTTGAGGATAATGTCAGTTATAGTCAGGAATGGACAATTATGTTTTCCTAATTTAATTTCCTTCCTTTCAATCTTTTTCTTCTGTAATACATTGGCTGCAGTTCTCTGTTCCAGTCTAAATTCTTTGACCCTCTCTGCAGGCATAAAGCTGTCATAAATCCTTTTATACAGCTAGAGAAGAATTCCTTCCTAGGAGGAATTAATGGATAGCCTTAAGTGACCTCTACTTTCGGACTTCAGCATAGGGAGTGTGTGTGTGGGAGGGGGAAGGTGGGGGGAGAAAAGCATTGGGCAATCCTGTTAATGTCTGACTGACAGCAACGGCCCTTCTGGCTAATATAAATGGGATTATACTGCTCTAACTTCTTTGGGGAGAAACCCTGTTTCCTGTTGGTCACTGGATCTCAGGATTGTGCAACTCTGCCATCCTGTCCTGAAAGGTAGTTCCTTTCCTGCCATCTTGTCCTTAGGAGGTAGTTCAAGCACTCTTAGACCAATTCTGGGAAGTGTTCCAAAATGTTGCTTATATTATGCTTATTTAAAATTTAATTATCTCCCAGGTAGAATCCTTCTTACAAAAGTAATAACACAGTGGCCATCTCATAGCCTCAGTGTACCTACACAGTGTATTTTAAAGTAGTTCCCATATTAAGAGAAAGTCCTTGCTTGTAGAATAATTGCATGACTCTTGTCTTCTGCTATTTCTGCTAGTGTACTGCTGTTTTCAGTCACTGGTGCAGGATACCTCCCATATTGTTTAACTGCCTCATACATGGTTATTTTTCTTCCTGACACTGTATATGTAACGTATACAAAATATTATTGCAGAAAAGGTTAAAATATGCAAAAAGAAAAACAGTCATATAATAAATAACTTGGCACTAGACATGCATACTTTAGAAGCTTTGTTTTGCTCTTGATGTCTGTCTGCCTAAACAAGTGGCATTTTCTATGCAGCACATCAGGCAGTGGCATCTTCATTTTGAGTAATTAGCCTGAAATTTACAAATTTGATCTCACTTTTCTGTTCATTCTTTTTGTTATGGAGTCTCTGAATCACATCTTTTGCACTATTCATGAACATTAATACTGGATATAAGCCAGAGATTATAGACAGTTGAGGGACTATCCAGATGGATGGAAAGTATAAGAAACAAATAGACATATATGCTTTTCCTTTCTCAGTTTTCATGGAAGTGGAAGTGTTGTTTTTTGTATGGAACTTAAAAAATAATATTTCCCATAATTCATAATCTACTTTTCTGACATCATGCAAAATGATAAATTTTAAATCTCACTCATGCTTTTCGGAGAATTTCTTTAAAACGAAAACCCAACACCTAAGAAATTCTACTCTCTATCTTTTCGGAGAATTCTTTAAAACGAAAACCCAACACCTAAGAAATTCTACTCTCTATCTAGTGCAAAAAATAATTAGAACACCACACAGAGCTTCCTCAGGAAGAAGAATCTTGGTACTTTTTACTTTTTTAATTTCATTTTCACCTTTTTGTCACTTACTTTGATTATGGACTAGAAAGTATGAAAATATGTGATAGTGAAAATAAAAATTAAATACAATCCTCCAAAGTATGGTAGCATATGACATATATTTACATATGGGAAAATCCTGGTTTCTCAGAAATTGACAGTAAAATTTAAACTGATGTTACTGAGAGAGGATTTCATTTTATATCATCAGAAGTCAGTAACAGGAACATTGCTTAATACATCCCCTGTGCAAAACATATACTTAATTCTGATTTCACTTACTTTCCTGAACACTATACATTGGGTTTTGGATTTTACCTTAGCTTGCAATTTGTTAAATATTTTTTACTTTTTTTTTGAGTTTCAGTGTCTTTTTTTCAGCTGGGATTTAAGAGCTCTTGGTATTTAGGCATCTAAATCCTGAAATACAGTTATTTCTTTGGTTTGAGAAATCCTTCCTTATTTCCTTCACAATATGGCTTACTGGTTTTTGCCTTTTCTCATTTCTTCACTTCAAAATGGTTAATAAAAAATTATTATAATATTACTAATCATTTTGCCAAGTTCTGCCAGAATGCTGTTATGAATTTTGGAAACAGCTCTACATTGCCAAAGTGAACAGAACTTTTGGCACAGTCATTAGTGTGAAAAGAATCAAATTCTCTCTAATCTATGTAAACTGCAAATGAACTGATCTGCTAAGCCCATGAACAAAATCACTTGTGCCAAGCAGTTTCTCAAGGCTGGTTCTACCAAAGATTTCTGTAGTACCTGTGAACCATGAAGAAGTCACACTGGGCTATCAGATTGTTAAATGCATGAAAAATTTTCAGTAAATAACACCCTGTTTAACAGCAAAACTTAGTGAAAGTAGGAAAAGATATTGACTCTCATTCAATTAAAAAAAAAAAAAAAATGTCCAACCAAAATACACAGTGGCCATCTCATAGCCTCAGTGTACCTACACAGTGTATTTTAAAGTAGTTCCCATATTAAGAGAAAGTCCTTGCTTGTAGAATAATTGCATGACTCTTGTCTTCTGCTATTTCTGCTAGTGTACTGCTGTTTTCAGTCACTGGTGCAGGATACCTCCCATATTGTTTAACTGCCTCATACATGGTTATTTTTCTTCCTGACACTGTATATGTAACGTATACAAAATATTATTGCAAAAAAGGTTAAAATATGCAAAAAGAAAAACAGTCATATAATAAATAACTTGGCACTAGACATGCATACTTTAGAAGCTTTGTTTTGCTCTTGATGTCTGTCTGCCTAAACAAGTGGCATTTTCTATGCAGCACATCAGGCAGTGGCATCTTCATTTTGAGTAATTAGCCTGAAATTTACAAATTTGATCTCACTTTTCTGTTCATTCTTTTTGTTATGGAGTCTCTGAATCACATCTTTTGCACTATTCATGAACATTAATACTGGATATAAGCCAGAGATTATAGACAGTTGAGGGACTATCCAGATGGATGGAAAGTATAAGAAACAAATAGACATATATGCTTTTCCTTTCTCAGTTTTAATGGAAGTGGAAGTGTTGTTTTTTGTATGGAACTTAAAAAATACTATTACCCATAATTCATAATCTACTTTTCTGACATCATGCAAAATGATAAATTTTAAATCTCACTCATGCTTTTCGGAGAATTTCTTTAAAACGAAAACCCAACACCTAAGAAATTCTACTCTCTATCTAGTGCAAAAAATAGAATGGAATTAGAACACCACACAGAGCTTCCTCAGGAAGAAGAATCTTGGTACTTTTGTGCAAATTAATTTCATTTTCACCTTTTTGTCACTTACTTTGATTATGGACTAGAAAGTATGAAAATATGTGATAGTGAAAATAAAAATTAAATACAATCCTCCAAAGTATGGTAGCATATGACATATATTTACATATGGGAAAATCCTGGTTTCTCAGAAATTGACAGTAAAATTTAAACTGATGTTACTGAGAGAGGATTTCATTTTATATCATCAGAAGTCAGTAACAGGAACATTGCTTAATACATCCCCTGTGCAAAACATATACTTAATTCTGATTTCACTTACTTTCCTGAACACTATACATTGGGTTTTGGATTTTACCTTAGCTTGCAATTTGTTAAATATTTTTTACTTTTTTTTTGAGTTTCAGTGTCTTTTTTTCAGCTGGGATTTAAGAGCTCTTGGTATTTAGGCATCTAAATCCTGAAATACAGTTATTTCTTTGGTTTGAGAAATCCTTCCTTATTTCCTTCACAATATGGCTTACTGGTTTTTGCCTTTTCTCATTTCTTCACTTCAAAATGGTTAATAAAAAATTATTATAATATTACTAATCATTTTGCCAAGTTCTGCCAGAATGCTGTTATGAATTTTGGAAACAGCTCTACATTGCCAAAGTGAACAGAACTTTTGGCACAGTCATTAGTGTGAAAAGAATCAAATTCTCTCTAATCTATGTAAACTGCAAATGAACTGATCTGCTAAGCCCATGAACAAAATCACTTGTGCCAAGCAGTTTCTCAAGGCTGGTTCTACCAAAGATTTCTGTAGTACCTGTGAACCATGAAGAAGTCACACTGGGCTATCAGATTGTTAAATGCATGAAAAATTTTCAGTAAATAACACCCTGTTTAACAGCAAAACTTAGTGAAAGTAGGAAAAGATATTGACTCTCATTCAATTAAAAAAAAAAAAAAATTGTCCAACCAAAATACTTTTTGAAAAGCACTGTTCAAAAAATATTACTTTCAGCTGGCTACAGGCCAACACAAGAAATGTTGGTTTTATTATGGAAGTTAATTTTTCTTTGTCCATAGAAAAACAAGAAAACTGAAAATATAATAGGAAGCTCTTGAAAACTTAACTCTGGAAAAATTGTCTTTTCCAAGATACCTACATTTATCTGCATGCATATATTCCAAAGTGTATTTATAATCTATGCTCACCTTCACACAAACAAATATATACACATGACCTGCATTAATAACTTCATTAGTAATTTATGAATGATCATGAGCCTCTTTTTCATAAATAATATATGCATCTACCTTCTTAGTATTCTTTTTCAGTACAACTACAGTCTGTGTCTAAAATTCTCAGATACAGATGAAACCAATATCCTGATCTAGAAGTCCCGTGAAATATTTATTTTAATGAACATTACACAATGAGTTGTGCAGCCCATTATGTAGAAATAATTACAGTGTTTTTAGCTCTAACAGTATTTTAATTGGCCTCTTGCACAAGAAGAGTTAATCTAACACGTGAAATAGAAAATTCGTATCAAATGTACTATCCATCACTCCTGTCCGTTTTTAATGAGCTTTTTTTATTTGAACTGAAGAAGCAATACCAGAATTACATAACTAAACACAGTGGTTAGATTTTGAACTGAAATGAGCTAGAACAAACACTAGTGGTTTGCTTAGTGCAAAAAAATACCAAGACATCCTTACCAGTCAAATCAAACCTTGAAAGAGAAAGATACTGAAATAAATGTTACAAAGAAAAAATTTTACATTTTTCACTCGCTGCGTTGTTTTGGATATTTGTCTCATTAAATGTAGTTCAGTTTTTTCCTATTTTACATTCGTATCTTAGCTTTATGTGAACAATGTTTATGTCTATCATTCAGAAGATTTAGTTTCCTCAGTGAATAAAAGAGGTGACATTCAGAATACCGACATAAACTCCATCAATCGAAACATTACCCTTCTTACAATTTTTCTCTTACCTGCACCCCATCAGATGCAGGAATATAACTTGCTCTTTTAAATGTGTCTGTAACATTTCTGAGAATTTCCACAGAAATCAGAAGGTCCCCTGCATAAAAATTTTTCCTCTGAGTTAAATCCAATAGTGTCTTGGTTACTTGGGACATGCCATCACCAGCCAACATCCTCTGTCCCTTGGCGAGGTGCTCTTTAATCTGTACCAGAAGAACAAAACGAATATCAGAACCTACTTTACTGAGAAAAAGGTATGATAAATTCTAAATACAGCCAAAAATATTAAATATTAAAGCCATTATAACAAAGTTCATCCTGTTAAAGAGAAGACAAAATAGTAGACTATGATGAAAGAATTATTATATTTATCAGAGAATCATGGATTTTATACTGAAAGATTCTGAAGTTGTCATGTTTCACCCATTTGCTTCTCTTTGGACACCAATAGTTTCTCAACATCCATGTTTTCAAAGGAACTCCATGGGCTGGACTGTGGCTATAATCTACTGCCATGATGTAGCAAGGAACGGGCTGGACTGTGGCTATAATCTACTGCCATGATGTAGCAAGGAACTGGTCTTCTTCAGAGGAACAGCTGTACAACCACTGTTGCCACTCATTAAACAACCAAGAGCTCTGAAAGGGGTAAATGTCAAGGCAGTCCTTGTTATAATCTAGTTTACTATAGGAAAGTATACCCTTCATCTCTGCCAGCTCAGCTTGGCTAGTCAATACAAGAGTTATGGTTTATGTGGAAGCTGATTATCGTGCTCTCTTCTGTAGAACTAACAACACAAAGGTGCTAATTTGGAACAATCTTGTGGGTTTTTTCAAGAAATGCAAATGAAATTATGAATTGCTCCTGTGTATCAGCCAAGAGAGTATACTTTAGTGGTAGCTCTCCCACCAGCTCTGTACAGGGCTAGTGATAAAGGTAATCTGAAACGCATGTGCTGGTAGAAAAATCCTCCTGATAAGAAGCTAAACTTGTGGATCTGATTAATTCTTAAAGCTGACTCAGCATCCCAGGAAGATGCATAGTGTATCACAAAGATGTCACAAGGCCAGCCAAGGCTGAAAAAGAGTGCATGGTTTAAACAACCTATTTTTAAATATGCATATGAATTTATGCATACAAACACAAGTTCTTCCAAATTGAAGCTAAATTAAAGAAAAGATAAATGACCTGAGACAGACCTCACTCTAAGCAGGGGGGCTGAAGAGAAAATTCTGTGCAACTGGCAACCAAAATGCTGACACCATCTCTGTAAATGTATCTTCTATTACTTTTTAACTTGGCCTTATTACTGACATATAGAGGGAAGGATGACTAATGTAACACAATGTGATGGTGGAGTGGAAAGAAGAGTGTAAAGATACTTTTTGTCACTTCCAGATCTCCCCAGCCACTTTATGTGGGTATGTGGGCCTTCATTAAAAAAACTCACAAATAAAAGGATAGAATATGTCATAAAAAATACAGTGATTAAAAGGATTCAAAATAACTTTCATGAAAGCAATTTAAAAAATGCAATCATCCTCTGACATATACAATCTAAGTAGGTTTTTTTTCATGCTGTTGGATCATATTTTGGTTACATTCTCAACCGGTCCTGAGATAAACTAGATATATGTAACACAGCTGGGGCTGGGCAAAGTGGCTGCTTCAAGTTATGTCTATGGCCTTAAGTCATCTTTATAGCAGCAGGGGATCATTATGGACCACAACAGGCTTGCCCAAACCCTAGAAATACTTAAGATTTGGGAGAACACCTGCCCGCTGCAGCATGGACAGAGAACAAATCTACTCTATACCATGAGTACAAAGGTACAAGCATAATTGTACAATCAAATATTTTCAACAAAAATTTCAGTGAGGAGAACTGAGGCAGTTAATTGGTTTTTTTTAACAAATATTTCAGTGGAAATACCTCCCTCAGTCTTCAGGATACTGTAATAAGTAATTAGGCAAGAAGCTTGCTTGCAGAAATCCTTTTGTGCAGTTTTTATTCATTTTAGAAGGAGACTTTGAAAGTAATCTTGTAGGAAAATAATGGAGAAATAGGTGTGAGAATTGAAGAAAATTCATTTGAGTAAATTCAAGGATCTGATATTGTATACAGAACATTATGAACTACTTTATTGGGAACAAGCAAAAGCAAACAAGAACTTGATTTGTGATTTTTCCTGTGAAATGTTGCCATTTGCCTCATCTGCTCACCCATTGTGTCTGGGTAGCAAATTAAAAGAGCATCAGCTAGCACAGTAACACAGAATAGTAGAACTTTTGCTGGAACTAGTTCATTGACCCCAGAGTGTATTTCCAGATTTTGAGGATTAACAATGTTCAGTGTGTCTTTAGTCAAGCCCAAAAGACATACATCATAAAAGACAGTCCATAAAGCTGAACTCCCAAATCTAACATGTGCCTCATGATGTACCATGGGAAAGGAATCACACAACTTGAAGGTAGAGCTTAAGAGAGAACAAAGAGGTCTTTTAATTGCAGTAACAACAGCAAAGTGATCAGTCTTCATAAAAACTCTACTGTGCTCTTATGCTTGTATAAAACACTAGTAGGAAAGCTGTTGAACTACTTAGCATGTTATTTTATATTGCATTATTTTGCTTCCTTTTGCTCCATCTGTACGTTCACCTTCCCATTTGTTTTTCCATGCACCTGCTAGACTTTAAACTCAAAGATGGCAGGGGCCAATTTGTTGTTGGTTTTGGACTATGCATAGCACACAGAAGTCTTGGCCTCAGCTGCTTTTGGAATGTAAATAATAAATTAAAATAATCCTAGTTTTGACTGGTTTTAGGCTTTTGAGCAAGTAAAGCTCTGTTTTCAATCAAAAATTTTACAGATCTCTAGCAGCAGAAGCGGGAGCTGTAGTATACCCTTTAGTGCTTTCATTAAGACATTTTGATTGCTTTTGGACACAATGATAAAAAGGGTCTAGCAAGTGCCCACAATGCCACAGGACTAAATTATTACACCTACTTCAGAAGTAGCCAGGGTTGTGGTACAGGTGGTTTAAAGTACTTCAGAATTATTGGCTCTTAAAATTACAGCTCAATTTGGAACTGTTTTTAAAAAAATGGCATACACAGAAAGCTCAGCTTCCCAGCACAAGTACCGTTCCTCCCTTGGGCCACACCACTCGTACACAGCTTGGTGAGCACCTTTTCTTTACCCTCTCAAGCTCCAACCCAGAAGTTCCTTTCCCTGATCCTTAGCTACCCCTCCAGTCCCACACTGCCTTGAGTTAGACTAACAGCATACCCTTAGAAGTAGCATAACAAAACAGAAAGTTGCAATGTGTTTAGGTAAGGAATGTGGGTGAACATTAGAGTTAATTAGTAGAAAGTTTTGACTACAGACCAGCAAGCAACGTTCAGGGCATGGTAAGAATTAGCAGTCTCTTTATTATCAGTTTATTACATAATGTGTTTTCTTGTTGTAAGACAGCCTACAGCTCCTAACCACAACTTTAAAATCACAGGCCATTCACTCAGTTGATGTAAACTGGTGCAACACTATTAAAGCCAATGAAGATGTCCAGATTAGTATGAGTTGAAGGTAGCGGATTACTTGCACAGGTACCAGAAGAATCTTTCAGTGTGAAAATACAGAATATTTTCATCACCAGTTAGTATAATGTCTTTCTTACCATACTGCTTATTTTCTATGCTACGGTCATTGTGATATACACTGTCCAAGAAAGCTATTTTGGTCACCGCTGTAGGCCCTTGTAGTTCTCAGGGAAGGTCATTTTTTAGTGGTCTTACAGGCAGGCTCATTAAAAATAAAGTTTATGAGCCAAGAGATAGTGAAATGAAGCAGCTGTTAAAGTGATACTTCAGTTGTCAGCACAACCTCTAGCTGCCTGCACTATATGGTTGCATAGTTGAAAAATTACTGAAATGTTTAACTGGACTTTGACTCAGGGTCCAACTGCCTTTGTCCCTCTATTTATCAGAAAGTATGATATAATAAAAATGCCTCTTTACAAAGTCAGAGCTCCTAGGCCTCCAGAATTGGAGTACAAATTTATTACTGCATAATAATTACTGCAAACTTAACAGCTAGACATGGTTTAAAAGGACAGAAAACAATGAACCCTCAAGAAACCTATAAAAGATTGAAAAGAATGATTAATCTGAAGAGTAACTACACCATCATCTTTTTCTCATTATTTTTTAAGATGATGTTGGATTAATGGTTAGGTATTACTAATGATAGCATTAATACATTTTATGGTAGTGGGGACTATAAGAACCTGAATTAGGAAGCCTTAGATAGATGTGAGGAAAGACAGTTAGAAATAAAAATATATCCTGAAATTGCTCATAATCTGCAAACCACTTTGCTTTCCACCTCCACAACCCAACATTAATATTTTGTAAAGTATTTTTCATAATGCTCTTAAGATGCAGGACAGGAAGGAATATTCACATCACCTGCAATAGCCACTTCAATTACACAATTGTATTAGAAACCTAAATGCTCTTGAAAGTGTTGGTTCCTCTAGACAACAAACCAGAGCACCTGAAAACTTATCTTGAATGCTCTGAATCACATTACCTGACCTCTGTGGCTCCTAATCTTGAGGCTGGAATTCATAGTACCCCCTCAATAAATATTAATTAATGATTTTGCATTAAACTTACTTTTATAGTTACCATCATTGAAGTCCAGAAAGATTTGAACCAAAATGCTGAAGTCTGTGTGCTTAAAGTTAGACACATAAATTAAAAAGGCAGAAAATACATTTTTGGCAGCTGAAATATTCCCATAGGTATAATCCTGCACTGAACTGAACTCAGGCAGCATGCTGATGTTTAAACTATAATGTGATGTCATTGTGAGAAAGCTCTTCCTTTCAGATTTGAGAAAAACTTCATTACAGGGTGTTTTTTTCTGATTGTCGGCAGACAGACCTTTAACTATCTTAGCACAGAATCTGGAAGTTTCATTTATTTTCCCTTGATATAATTAATTATTGACAATTTATTTGTTTATTTTCAGGCTGTTTCAGTGTTCAAGAATATTATTTCATCCATCTTTTAAAAGAAACAGAGTATGGTCTGAAGATACAGCTATGCGTCTTCAGGTATGCATCTGAATGTTTATAACCTAATGTCATATAAGAGTCTTTTTTCCTTTTCTATACATTCAAAATTTTATGAAGGAGAT